ATCTTGGAAACGGCCGGCCGCCATATTTGAACGCGCTGTGGAAATCTTAGCCTCGGGATCAGAAGTTGCAGGGGATTCTCAGACGAGGCGGCCAGCCAGCCTGCCGACTGGAACTGGGGTGCGACAGGAAAGGTTTAGTTTTCATGGGAAGGAATGGCGAAGAGGAGGAGGAGGAGGAGGAGGAGGAGGAGGAGGAGGAGAAGAAGAAGGAAGACGAGGATACGGAAAAAATACAAGGAGGAGGAGGAGGAGGAGGACGAGGACGAGGACGAGGAGGAGGACGAGGAGGAGGACGAGGAGGAGGACGAGGAGGAGGAGGACGAGGAGGAGGAGGAGGAGGAGGAGGAGGAGGAGGAGGAGGAGGAGGAGAGGGGGGGGGGAGGGGGAGTGCGAGGCGAGAGAGAACTAACAGCACTTGGAGGAGGCATGCGCTGGCCTTCCAAGAAGGTTGGAGGCGGCCATTAACGAAGGCTTGTGGGAGTTTCCATATATGTTCGGACATGCCGAGGCACGTGCCCGCACATGCCTTCGGAGTTTTCTGGGTTCCCTAAAAGAGCCTCCAGTGTTTCGTGACGTGGCCTTCGCACAATTTGGCGGGGTTCGCCAGGGCGTCGCAACGTTTCCTGCGGCCATGAGGGGATCTGGTGCCACACGTGCTGAACCAGCTTGCGCGCCGCCCACTGCTGATGGGAGCAGTTCTTCGCATCTAGGTGCTTCATCCTTTGTAATCGTCCAGTGGCCGCGCAGAGACTCTTGGCGTGCCCTGTCCAAGTCTCTTTCCAACGCGCCTGTACGGCTCGACTGGAGGAGCGGGAGGCGGAGGGGGAGGAGGAGGGGAGGAAGGGACTCACACGGAGGGGGGTTGAGCAAAAGGACGGGTGAGGCCATGGAGGACGAGGAGGAGCAGGTGTTCGCAATTCGCATCTCGGACGGCATGCTGGCGAAGAGCACCCAGAGAGGGGGATAGGAGAAAGAGGTCGAGGAAGGGGGGGGGCCCTGATTTGCCCCGGCCAGCTTGGGACATCTCTACAACTCTGGGTTCGAGATGCGATTCGCGAAAGGTGTTTTGGCCCGTTCTGCGTGAAGCATTCTCAAACCATTGGGCTGCGAGATACCTTGACTAGAGGTGACCTGGCCCATTTCGCTTGGGACACCCAGAGGGCCTGGGTTCCAAGACACGTGTTTTACAATAGTCCGGCCCGTTTCACATGAAACACCTTCGGAGTTTGAGGTTCATAGATAGCTTCGCTTGAGGCGATTCGCCCTGATTTTCTTGGGATATCTGGGTTGAGATGCGGTTCTTAACTGTTCTGGCCCGACTCGCGTGAGACACCCTCTGAGTTCGGAGTTTCGATACGATGGGATTCAAAAAGTCCCGCATGGACCTTTTGGGGCGCACAGGGTCGTCCGCCAGATTTGCAGCAAAACCGCTTGTCTGGGTCGGTGGCGAGCTCGGCCTGTGCAACTGTCGGGCCGGACGAAAGGGGGGGATTGGGAAAGGGAGGGTTACGAAATCTGTTGCATGCAGCTGGTTTCGGCCTCGCCGAGGGACCCATTCCTCGATACATAGCCGCCTCCGTCGGCGGGAGGCGCCAGGAAAATCAGCTACGTGAGCTGATTCTCAAACCCCCAGTTTGCTATCCCCCTCCTTTCGCCCGGCCCGAGAATCCCGCGGCTGGCCAGGCGGGGAGCGGCCCCAATTCAACCAGCGCCACGCCCACGCCCTGCGCAGGCGCGCGCAGCGCTCGCGCTGCCCGCGTTCGCCGCCAGGAGCGGGACGCAGGAGCAGTGGTCCAGCCACTTTCGCGGAAGAGATTCTCGCCGCTCTGACCTCGGAAATGCCCTGAGCTGAGGTGGTTTGGGCAGTTTCGCCCGAGACGTCGTCGCAACTCCGACCTCGGAGATGCCCTGCCCCGTGTTGGTCCAGCCAATCTCGCCTGAGACATCCTCGCACTCTCGCCTGAGACGTCGTCGCAATTCTGGCTTCGGAAGTGCCCTGCCCCGGTCCCGCCACGGTCGCCTCAGACATCCTGGCAACTCTGGGTTTCGAGATGCCCTGAGTTCAGGTGGGCAGGCCACTTTCGCTTCAGATATCGTCGCATCTCTGACCTCGGAGATGGGCCCTGCCCCGTGGTGATCCTGCCGGTCACTCACCCTTGAGACATCGTCGCAACTCTGGGTTCAGAGATGCCCTAAGCTGAGGTGGTCAGACCACTTTCGCTTGAGATATCGTCGCACTTTCGGGTTCTGGGATTCCCTGAACTGAGGTGGTCAGGCCACTTTCGCCTGAGACATCTCCGCAACTCTGACCTAAGGAATGACCTGAGCTGAGGTGGTCAGATTTTTCTCCCTTGAGACATCCTGGCAACTCTGACTTCGGAGATGCCCTGCCCCATGATGGTCCAGCCACTCTCGCTTGAGACGCACTCGCAACTCTGGGTTCTGAGGTGCCCTGAGCTCAGGTTCTCAGACCACTTTCGCCTGAAATAGTTATGCTCGCAACCCTAACTTCAGAGATGCCCTGCCCCATGGTGGTCCCAACTCCTGGGTTCCGAGATGCCCTGAGCTCAAGTTGTCAGCCACTTTCGCCTGAGATATCTTCGCAATTCTGACCTTCGGAGATGCCCTGCGCCATGGTGGTCAGGTTACTTTCTTCTGGGACATCCTCGCAACTGTGTGTTCCGAGTTGCCCTGAGCTCAGGTGGTCAGGCTATTTTCGCCTTAGACATCCTCGCAACTCTGTGTGTCGAGATGCCCAGAGCTGAGGTGGTCATGCCACTTTCGCCTGAGACATCCTGGCAACTCTGACCTCGGAGATGCCCTGCCCTACGATGGGCCAGCCACTTTTGCTCGCAACTCTGGGTTCGAGATGTCTGAGCTGAGGTGGTCTGGCCACTGTCGCCTGAGACATCGTCGCAACTCTGGGTTCAGAGATGCCCTGAGCTCAGATGATCAGGCCACTTTCGCCTGCGACATCCTCACAACGCTGGGTTCCGAGATACCATGAGCTGGGGTGGTCCGGACACTTTCGCCTGAGATATCGTCGCAATTCTGACCTCGCACATGTTGAGTTCTGAGATGCCCTGAGCTCAGGTGATTCGGCTATATTCGCCTGCGACATCCTTGCAACTCCTGGGTTCCGAGAGGCATTGAGCTGTGCTGGTCAGGCGGTTGTCGCCCGAGACATCCCCGCATGATACATCATCCGAGCGCTGGCCACATCGCTTTTCTTCGATTGGTGCTGTCGCATGCCACGCCCCTTGGGTGGGTATGGTGTTGCTGCTCGAACGCCAGCCACATCCGCTTCCCTCGTTTCATTTACTCCTTCCCTTATTCCTCTCTCATCAGCCCTTTTTCTTCCCCATGTGTTTCTCTCTCCCCCATCCGAGTCTTCGACTCTGCGGCATGTGCGCTCATGTGTGTTTATAGTTTCGCAGTTCGTCCAGACTGTGCGTCTGACTGTGTGCCTCGCACTGTGTGGCATGTGCGCACATGTGTGTCCACGCTGTTGAGACTTATGCAGGGTTGCATGGGCGTGTGCATGCGACTGTGCGGCATGTGCGTGCGTGTGTGGCTCCTTCTAAATTTCCGAACGAAAGTGAGCATGAGCACCAGAGGAAATGAGTCCGATATAGGAGCCTGAAGCTCAGACATTGGCGACAGTTTCACGTGTGGAGGCCGGGTCGCTTCCAAAATATGGTTTACGCATGAGCGCCGCGCATTCTTTTTGTAAAACGTTGGCCAGAGTTTCACGGATTGAGGCCAGGTTGTGTTCGAAGTGTGGCTCCCGCCTTGGCTCGGCGCACATTCGTTATGAAATCAGTGTCAGAATTTCACTGATTGAGGGCGGTGCCTTTTCACAATGCGCATCTCGCCCGAGCGCCGCGCACATTCCTTATAATAACATCGCAATATTTTCGCGGATCGAGGGCGGGCAGTTTTCAACATGTGGTTCTCGCGTTAGCGCCGCGCACATTCTTTTTCACAATTTGCAAGCGTTTCCCAGATTGACATGGGTAGCCTTCCAGAAATGGTGTTTCCGAGCGGTGCAGGATTGTCACAGGGCAGCAGTGATGTTGATTTGCGGTGGTGAAGTCCCAGGAAACGTGGTGTTTTGGCACGTTTCAGTATCTTCAAGACGCAACAGTTAGGTTGGCCCATGGCATTGAAGTCCTGAGAACACCTTTCTGCACCTTTCAGGATGTTCTCACGGTTGTCTCCCAACGGGGCTATCCCCTCAGTGGATGTGAATCATTATACGGGCTTATGGAGGGGCTTGAATGGAATGGCTTATTCCAACATGGTTGATGCGTCTTGGGTTTGCATTGGGCTTCCTCCTCCTCCTCCCCCTCCTCATCCCTCACCCCTCCACCTCCACTCTTCCCCCATCACTCCTGACCTCCTCTTGCCACCCAAAACCTTATCCACATCCCCCTCCTCTTCCTCTGCCCCTCTTCTCCTCCTCTTGCTCCTCTTCCTGCTGCCCTTCCTCCTTCCCTCCTCATCCTCCTCCCCCTCCACCTGGCCCTATTGCTCCTCCTGCTCCTGCTCCTCCTCCTCCTCCTCCTCCTCCTCTTCCTCCTCTCCTCCTCCTCCTCCTCCTCCTCCTCCTCCTCCTCCTCCTCCTCCTCCTCCTCCTCCTCCTCCTCTCGTCCTCGTCCTCGTCCCCGCCGCCCTGCCGTCGCCGCCGCCGCGTCAGTCGCCGCAGTTGCTGCTGGGGCCGTCTCAGCCGTGGGGGGACCGAGAGGGCCGGAGGCCCGCTTCGTCCATCTCCTCGCCCCTTCCTCCCCTTCCTCTTCTTGCTCTCGCTTCGCCTCACTTCCCTCTTCCTCCTCCTCCTCCTCCTTCGCCTCCTACTCCCACTCGGCCTTCCTCCTCCTCATTCCCCCTCCTCCTCCTCCTCCTCCTCCTCCTCCTCCTCCTCCTTCTCCTCCCTGCCCCGAGCTGGCGGGCGTCGCGCCCTCCGCCCCCTCCCCCCCGCCAATCAATAAACATGAAAGGCGGAGCGGCTGTACCGCAAGACGCTGAAGGGCACCGAGTCCGCCGCGCGCTCGGGCGGCCCGTGCGCGCGTGCAGCGCGCCTGCGCGCGCGCGACCGCTCTCACGAGGAGGAGGGCGGAAGGAAGACAGAGGAAGAGCGAAAGAAGGACGAGGAAGAGCGGGAGGAGACGGATTTGGAGGAGCAGCAGGGGAGGAGGAGGAGGAGGAGGAGGAGGAGGAGGAGGAGGAGGAGGAGGAGGCGGAGGAGGAGGAGGAGGAGGAGGAGCAGGAGGAGGATGAGGAGGAGGAGCAGGAAGAGCGAGAGGAGGAGGAAGAGGAGGAAGAGCAAGAGGAGGGGGAGGAGAAGGAGGAGGAGGAGGAGGAGGAGGAGAAGGAGGGGGAGATCAGAAAGAGGAGTAAGAGAGAGCGAAGGAGAAAGGAGGAGGAGGAGGAGGAGGAGGAGGAGGAAGAGGGGGGGGGTACCAGAAGCAAAACGACGACCACGACCACGACCCATTCACTAGGAGTTTCGATGTTTCCCAGGCGTGGGCGCCAGACCTCTAGAGCCGTCTCGCGGCGCCATCCCGATCGTTTCTCGGAGGAGCTCGGCCCCCAGAGGGCCACGGGTGGCGACCTGTCAGAGCGCCACGTGTCCTGGGGACGTGCGGAGGCCATGAGCACCAAGCAAAGAAGCAATTGGCCTGCCAACGGGCGCCCCAGGAGAACGTGTCGATCGCCCCATGGGCCCGCAGAGCTCTGGGGCACCTTGCGGAGCTCAGGGTCGACGGAGGACGTGCCGCCAGGTCCTCTTGTATACAGCAAGAATCCGTATCGAAAGTGCTTGCTGCGCGTGGGAGGACGAAGGCGAAGACGACTGCGACGACGATGTGCGGAGGCCATGGGCATGAACCACCAGTGCACGCTGGCGTCGGTGAACAACCTGGCGGGGCCCCGGGAGGGCTGGGCGGCATGCCACGCATGGGGGGCGGTCGTCGATGGGCACCGCCGCGGGCGCCGGGGAAGGGAGGGCCAGAGGAAGAGGGCAGCACAGAGCGAACGCAAGGCTGCTCAGACCAACCTGTCGGTCAGGAAGTTGCCCACCCAGTTCGCTCCAGCAACGACCGCATGAAGGTTACGACATGCGGGAATGCGTGGCAGAGCCTCCCGATGATCATCACCATCAGCACGACGGCGCAGAAAGGTAGGCGCGGGCCTCCTTTCTTAGAGCCCCGAAGGTGCACGAAATGTGGACCCGTGTTCACCCCCCCCGGAGATCGCACCTTCCACGACGCAACGGCCAAGACCCGCCTCCAAGACGTATTCCGTGACATGCACACCCTGCCGTTGCAGAGCCATTCTCTCATATTTGTCAGATGTTGCAGTGATGTTGGCTGCTAGAGATGTCACGGGCGGTCTTTCGCCCCCAATCCCCAAGTTGAACCCAGACAAACATGTCGCTCGGAGGAAGGGGGGAAGTCGGGGATACACCTTCAGGGGGCTAGTCGGACGCACCCCTAACGAGGATGGACGCCCCCCAACTGAGTTGTGGGCCCCTTGGTCTAGCCTGCAACCGCCCAGAGTCGGGGGGGGGACGCCATACCCCTCGTTGAACATGGATTGCCCGAGGCCCTCTCCGGCCAGAGGGGGTTTAGATGACGTCGCTAATTGGGCGGAGCCCAGTTGACCGGGATCGTTCGCCCCATTTAACCCGTTGAAGCCACTTGGGGCATCTGTGACCCATTGATCAGCTCAGTTGGGCCATAGCGTTCGTTCATACAGTCAAGACGCTGAATGAAGGACCGCTTTGGGTTCGGAAGGTACTCCCTCTTGCTTAAGTCATTCCGTGGTTGTTCCTCTAGCCCTCCTCGTGCATCCATGCGATTGTGATGCCCAACGGGGCCTTCCTTGCTCATCCTGCGTTCCTTCTTGCAGCAACTTGACTGTACCCCCCTATCCCCTCGGCAAGCCCAGCGGTCTTCCCAGTAGACAAAGAAAGACAACACCGCCCAGGGCCCAAGGCCCCCTCCACAGGCGGCCCGGATTAGTAGGTCGACCCTGCCAAATCAAGGGTGCCCTCGCGTCCTGTGTTTCGCGACCCACGCCTCCTACATTCCTGTGGCAATGTGGCCCTCGGAAGGGTCTGATGTCCTCTCGCGTGTCCTCTCCAATCAAACCCGACTAGCTCCCCCCCGGCCTCCCGGGCCCCCGCCGCGGTGGGCGCCGGGAGGCCAACCTGCTGGACGACCTCGGGAGGCCCCCGCGAGAAGGGGAGGGCGCGGCCCGCGTGCGCGGCCGCCCGCGCCCGCCGCTGGTGTTCGTCGTCGTCGCCGATGTCGTTCTCGTCGTCCTCCTCGTCATTGTCGTCGTCGTCGTTGTCGTCGTCGCCGTTCTCGAGGTCGTCGTCCCTCTCTTCGCACTCATCGTAGTCGGTGTTGTCGTGGTCGACGTCTTCGTCGTCGTCGCTGTCGTCGCCTTTGTCGCCCTCGTCGTCGTCGTTGCCGTTGTCGTCCTGATTATTGTCGCCGTTGCCATCGTTGCCATCTTCGTCGTCGTTGTTGTATGTATCATCGTCGTGCTCTTCGTCATTGTCATTATCGCCGTCGTTGGCCTCGCCGTCGTCCTTGACGTCGCCCTCGTCGTCGTCGTCGTCATTGGCGTCGTCGTCCTCATCGTCGTGGTCGTCCTCATCGCCCTCGTCGTTGTCGTCGTCGTCGTCGTCGTCGTCGTCGTTGTCGTCTTCGTAGTCGACATGTTCTGGTGTGCAGGTGGTGTTCATGCTTCGTGACTTTCCGTTCTGAAGGTCGGGAGCTTCTGTTCTGGGGTTCGTCTTCTCTGATTCCGGGCTTCTTGCCCCGTCCTCTTGGGCTTCTCCTGGGCCTCCATGGGGGTCTCGTGGGCAGTCTTCGGGGCCGTTGGGTCATCTTGGGCCCTCTTGGGCCGTTTGGAGGCCCTCTTGGGGCCTTCTGGTGGCGTCTTGGGTGCCTCAAACACCTTGAAGCTCGCAAGGTGATGATGTACATAAAAATGCAGAATCACGTATCTGAGCATCACATATGCTTGCCTCTTGGTGCCCTCTGGGAGGTCCTCCTGAGGCTCTCTTGGGCCGTTTTGTGAGCCCCTGGGGCTATGTTGAGGCCATCTGGTTCCCTCTTGGACGTCCGTATCTTTCGCCGTCCTGGAGCACTTGCTGCGCCCTATGTATCCACCAGCCAATCCAGACACGATGCCAGCCAATCAGCCAATCCAGAAACCGGCCAATCAGACACGATTCCCAGGGGAGTTGCCATGATCTCTTAGAGGTCTCTTGTGTCGTCGCGGGCCCACAAGGGGATGACGCGAGGGGAGTGGGCTCGTCCGACCCAGTTTTTTTTTCATTCCCTACCTAGGCTCTGCCTAGAAGGGTTCTTACTCTCTAGCTTAAAGGGGCCGGGCAGTGGAAAGCGCCCCGGGCGGTTCCCCCAGTCCCCGCCCCGCGGTTCCCCCAGTCCCCTGGGAGCTTTAGCTTTAGCTTTAGCTTTAGCTTTAGCTTAGCTTTAGCTTAGCTTTAGCTTAGCTTTAGCTTAGCTTTAGCTTAACATTAGCTTAACTTTAGCTTAGCTTTAGCTTAGCTTTAGCTTAGCTTTAGCTTAGCTTTAGCTAGCTTTAGCCCAGCTTTAGTTTAGCGTTGGCTTAGCTTTAGCTTAGCTTCAGCTTAGCGTTAGCTTAGCTTTAGCTTAGCTTTAGCTTAGCTTCAGCTTAGTTTTAGCTTTAGCTTTAGCTTAGCTTTAGCTTAGCTTTAGCTTAGCTGTAGCTCAGCTGCAGCTCAGCTTTAGCTTAGCTTTAGCTTCGCTTTAGCTAAGCTTTAGCTTAGCTTTAGCTTAGCTTGAGCTTAGCTTTAGCTTAGCTTGAGCTTAGCTTTAGCTTAGCTTTAGCTTAGCTTTAGCTTAGCTTTAGCTTGGCTGTAGCTTAGCTGTAGCTTAGCTTTAGCTTAGCTTTACTGTTACTACTAATGCTGCTTTCCTAGGGGCTCCAACTCTTAGGTAGGGTCGCACTGGGATAATTCGGACGTGGGTAGAGTCAAGCGCTACAGTCGAGGTTGATCAGTAGGTCGACCCTGCCAAATCAAGGGTACCCTTGTGTCCTGCGTTTCGCGACCCATGCATTCTACGTTCATTTGGTAATGTGGTCGAGGGTCCTCTCCAACCAGCCCCAACTGCAGCTCCCAGGTATTGCACTCATCTCAGCGACGAGTGGGGACCGAACGAGGGGCCAAACAGCGTGCGAAGCTCCCCCACCCCCCAAGAATCGGCGGCCAGCCCTGGGATGAAGTGAGCCGTGGTGAGCCTTCTCGGAAGGCCTCCTGAGGAGTACCCTGAGCCATCCCCGAAGACCCAGAAAAGGCATCTCAGGAGCGGAGTCTTCCTGACAAGCCCCGCCGCCTTCTGAGAGGGCCTCCTCCCTCCCACTTCCCCCCCCCACCTCGCCGCCGAGAGAAGGCGCGAGGAGTCCGAGAGCCTCCACCGGCGCGCGCTGGAGAGCAAGGACACCTCGCGCGCGGGGCCTCCTGGCCGCGGCCCCTTCTCTCTGACGCCCTACACGGCTGGGCCCCGTCCTCGCCGCCGGTCGCCGGTCAGGGGCGTGCCGAGGGGGGGGGGGGAAGTTCGGGGGAGCTTCGGGCTCGAGCTGCGACGTTCTCGGGCGCGAGCTCGTCGGTTGTCGGCGGCCTTCTCCGGCCTCGGGGTGCCTGCCAGTGCTCCAGGGGCGGCTCCCCGAGCGTTCTCGGGGAGCCTGGATCGTCCCGATCGGCCGCCGGAGACAGGAGCTGTAGCCCGAAGACCAGAGTCGGCGGCGCGCCGAGGAGGGGAAGTGAATGGGGCAAAGGATTGAGAAAATGCTCCCGCCCCAGGGGGCCCCAAACTGAATGAGTGGGGCAGACCAATAGAAGAATTCAGCCGCCGGGAGCTGTTTTTTTAATCGTCTGCCCCCCTGGCGTTGTATTTTTCCGCCTTGCGGAAACTGAGTTTCTATACGTCCTCCTGCGTTCCTTTGATCACCCGCGGCCGCGGAAGGAGGATTGCGGAGAGGGGGCGCCGGAAGCGCCTCTAGGGAGTCCCAGCGCAGATCCAGGAAATCCACGGGGGGCCGCCGGAAGTTTATGTTTATGCAGTTTTTCATCCACGACTTAAGAGCCAACCCCAGGACAGCCCAGCTGTCGTCTTTGCGGACGGCGGTTGGAGCCTGAAAGTGAGGCCAACGTTGCCGCGGGAGCAGCGTGTCGGAAGGACCGAACATTTTCGGATTGAGCAACAGATATGAGCAACACGCTCCCCCAATCCTTTGTGTAAAAACAGCACGTGCGAGGATTCGAACCGAGCGGAGGCTCGAACATGAGGCAAGCGTTACAAGGGGAACAATAATTTGACAGAGCCGAACACGTTCCAATTAAAACGACAACTATGAGAAACGGATTCGCGCTAAACCTGTGTGTAATTCAAAACACAGTACGCGGAGGGGTGCAGGCAATCTTCCGGAGTGCATCAGGAGAGAACGGGGAATAGTATTCATATTGTGTAACAGTGATTTGCAGGGGGATGGTGACAAGGGATAGAATAGCGAGGGGAAGGAGGAGAGGGAGGAGAATAGGAAGAGGAGGTGGGGAAGGAGGTCGCTGTCTGAAGGCGGCGCAGAATGTCTGCCTTCCGCGCAGGATTGGCGGATCAGAAATTTCTACTTCCATTCAGGGCGGGCCGAAAGCAACCCCCGCGGCCTCGAATTGTCCGCCCCTGCGGATTCGAATCGTCAGCCCGCGAAGTCCGTCCCAGCTTCTGCTTGCCCAGCTTTGAATTCGAATTCTCAGCCCGCGCCCCCCCCCGGGGTTCGAGACAACCCGGGATTGTCCGCCCTCCATCTGCTTGCCCCGCCCCCCCGCTATTGCGGTGGCGCGAAGGCCCGCGAAACAAGTGGCACGCGTGCCCTGGCTCTTGCACATTTGAGGAGAGAGAAAAAGGAGGAGGGGCATGTCGGGGGCGAGAGGGCTGGGGGATGGGGGGCCACGGCCACGGGGATGGAACCACAACAATAAAAGGTCCGGGACGAGGAGGGCTGGGGCCAAGGCCAGGGTCGGGGCGAGTGGGGGTCCAGGGCCAGGGCAGGGGGACTGAAGCTCGGACTAGGGGCCAGAGGTCCGGGTTGGGCGAGGGGGGCTGGGGCGAAGGCCAGGGTCGTGGCGAGTGGGGCCAAGGCCAGGAAACACGCTGAGTTCAGCCAGGGCCAGAGGGCTGGGGCTCGGACCAGAAGCCAGAGGCCCGGGTTGGGGCGAGGGGGCGAGGGGCGGGCCACAGCCAGGGGGGCGGGGGCGAGAGGAAGCGGGCCACAGCCAGGGGGACGACGACAAACCACGAACCACGAAAATAAAAGGGCCGGGGCGAGGGGGGCTGGGGCCAGGGCCATGGAGGCGCCAGAGCCAAGGAGGGAGGCTGGGTTCAGGGCCAGGGCAGGAGGACGGGGGCTAGGGGGCCAGGGGAAGCAGGCCAGAGCCAGGGGGACGACGACGAACCACGAAAATTTAGAGTTGGGGCGAGGGGGGGCGCCAGAGCCAAAGAGGGAGGCTGGGTTCAGGGTCAGAGCATGAGGACGGGGGCGAGGGGGCCAGGGGAAGCAGGCCTGAGCCAGTTGGACAACGACGAACCACGAAACTAGATGGTCCGATGCGAGGGGGGCTGGGGCCAGGGCCAGGGGGCGCCAGAGCCAAGGAGGGAGCCTGGGTTCAGGGCCAGGGCAGGAGGACTGGGGCTCGGACCAGGAGCCAGAGGTCCGGGTTGGGGCGCGGAGGCCAGGGGATGGGGGGCAGGGGGACGACGACGAGGATGGGAAGCCAGAGCCAGGGGGACGACGACGAACCACGAAAATAAAGGGTCCGAGCTCTAGAACACAACTGGATGGGGGGCAGGGAGACGACGACGAGGATGGGAAGCCAGAGCCAGGGGGACGACGACGAACCACAAAAATAAGGAGGTCCGAGCTCTAGAACACAACTGTGCAAGAAAATTAATTTGTTTTATCGTCCGCCCCTGAAAATGTTTTAGACGCTTCCGTTCATTGGAGGGGGCAGGCCTTCTCAGAAGGCGGAGGGGATTTTCAGAAGCTTCCCGGCCTTTTTGAGCAGCAGATTTCTGAGACGGCCCGCGCCCTTCTGCCTTCCCCCTGGATGCGCCGCCGAGCAGCGACGTCCGGGAGGGATCGGCTCAGGAGTGGATTCTATCGCCCACTTCTCCGATCAGGACCCGATAGCCCACCCCGCCCAGGCGCATTCTGTTTCGCTTTCGGGAGCCTATCGCCGACTTATCGGCGACGCATCGCCGATTCCAGCTTGATGTATCTCCCTCTGATCGGGCCCCTCCTTAAATAACGTTTCCCTTCAGGGTCTTCTCCTCCCCTGGCATCATCACGAAGGATGTTTCTGAGGCATTGTTCTGCCTCAAGGGACCCTCGTTGATGAAGAGCCGGTCCCCAGCAAAAGGTTCAGATCTCGAGGGAGATTTGTTGCGAAATAAGGCATTGGGAGCATGGGGTGCGTCTCCTCCTCATGCTAAGCGTTCTAAGTGCTCTGGGCCGCGGTGATAGTTCTTGGCCGCGGTTTTGTTGATCACCGTGTTGCTTGTCTGTGACGTGGTGTTTGGTCCTGTTCGCATATGGGTTCTTGTTCGAGACATGTCCATGTTGACCGCCCCCCTGGAGTCCCAGGACAGAGTCCCCTCTCGCAGTCCAGCGCAGCAGCGGGGGTCACGTTCCCGAGGGTTTTCGGCAGAGGTTTGGGGTTTCGGAAGGTTTTCAGAAGTCTTCGGGGCCCGGGATGATTTCCACCAGCTGCGCCTCGCCGAGAAGGCGCGTTCTGGCGATGCCAGGATCGTCCTGAACGGCCACTTGAGGCCCGAGTTATGGTCCGAAAGCCAACAGGGGGTCAGCGCAAAGTAACCAGCGCCGTCCAATCCCAGCCCTCAAACGTTGTGAACAGATGGTGCGGATGTTTTCGCAGCTTTCTGCCTCTAGGGTCCGAGGGCCCTCGCAAGTCCCCCGGGTTGTCAGAACAGATCCACGGTGAAGAAAGTGAATCCAGGAAGTTTTCGAGATGTCCACGGACCCCGCTCTGGAACAAACAAGGCATCGGTGGGCTTGGATATTGTGATATTGTGATGCTTTCTGATCCTTTCAGGCTGACCCAGGTTTGGGAGCCATGTGGAGCCGGCCCACCATCGCAGTCCACACGCTAAAAGCAGGACCACTTGGGGCGCAGGAGTGGCTCTGGTTCTCAGGCCGTTCCTTCGATCCAGGTCGGGGAACCTGTTGGTGGCCGGGGCTCGCCGCGGCCAGACAAGCAATTTGCTCCTTAGTGCTCTCGTTATGGCAGCACGATGACTGCACTCTCCCTCCGAGCAGGGTTCGGGAGCTGCTCTGCGGCTGGCGGGGGGTCGTGACATGGCCTTGGCCGACCCGGGTCGGCGCCGACCAGGATCAGCACGACGTCCCCGAGCAGTCGCCCGATCACCAGGTCTTCCAACACTCGGGCCGAGCGAAAGGGGGGCATAGGGCAAGGGGGGGGTGCGAAATCTGCTGCATGCAGCTGATTTCGGCCCCGCCGCCGGTCCCATTCCTCGATACACGAGCGCCTCCCGGCGCCGGGAGGCGCTGGGAAAATCAGCACCTCAGCTGATTCTCTACCCTACCCTTTGCTATTCCCCTCTTTCGTTCCCGACAGCGTTCGGCTAATTGGGCCTGGCGAGGGGGTGGTCTCGCAGCCACGCCTGGGCTCGCTTTGGAGAGTCCTGGTGGTAGTGTGCACCCCCGGACGTGTCCAGGCACGCTGAGTGGAGTCTCGGGCGGAGAGCGAAACAAAAACGCACGAGCACACGAGTTCGCGGGGCCTTCGAGAGAGCACACGAGCGCTCGTGATATGATGGTGGGTCCCGCGAACAGGGGTGCATACTCTGGGATACAATTCTAGACGCTTCGCATCTCCCCACCAGCCCATCCAGAAGCGATGCCCAGGCGAGTTGCCCTGATCAGGGATGTGGAGGAGCATCCAGTGCAAGAAAGTGCTGGGGAAGCCGTCATACCCCAAGAGGGGGAGGATGGAGGAGGAATCGGAGGGGGAGGGGGAGGGGGAGAAGTGAGGGGGGAAGAGGAGCAATAGGCGGATGAGGAAGAGGAGGACGGCGAGCAGAAAGGCCAGAGGCCTCTTGGATACCTCTCGGAGTCTCTTCGAAAGTCTCTTGATAGCCTCTTTGAGTATTCTTTGGGCGTGTTAAGGGGGCATCTTGGCGTTCCCGGTGCCTCTTGTAAGGTCTTGGGTGCTTCGGGGGAGCCTCTTGTAGCCGTGTTGGGGGCCTCGAGCCTCCAGGGAACCTCTTTGGGCACTCTTGGGAGTCTTGTGGGCTATCTTGGGGCCATCCTAGAGGAGTTCGCTCAAAGAAGAGAGGGTCCTTAATCAGCCCCGCCCTCCCCCTGGAGGCCAAGACAGGCCCCACGCCTAAGGACAACCATTG